AGCTTGTGGAATCTTAACAGCTATTTTTAGTATGACAGGGTTTAATGATCCTTTGGCATAGTTAAAGGAACAATATTTTAGTAGCTTGAACTTTTTCATAAATTCACAATCAAACGTTACTGTGACACAACTGATTTCTCATTGTGGTAGACTATCCTCATTCCATCCAGTTATTACATAGCCTTGCTCTCTACTATTACTTGTAAAATCATGCCTATAATATAATTACAATTTCACACACAATACATGGATTAATGAATTCTACAGCATATTTCTTCTGTTCCAGTCCCAAATGAAAATCAGATTTAGATTAATAAAAATATCTATAAATGGGATCTACACCTGCCACAGGCCTATGGCACACAAGGTTTTGATGCATTAGTCTAATTTCAATAAAAAACAAGTAATTTCAATTTGCGATAAAAAAAAGTTTTACAGCCCATTAATCTATTACCTAACTGCACTATTTACCTTGTACCATGTATCCAAAACTGCATTTTACCTTAATTCTCTCATGCTTGCACTACAAATCCTGAACTGCTTATTTAGATTCCAAGGGAAAAACTTGACACATTGGCTAGTGTTCACCTATTGCGATTTCAAATATTAAACCTCTCAAGACAGGATACTTATGAGAGCACAATTTCAAGATTTACATATCTTACGTGTGGCTATGACGGCTGGATGTGCATGAAGGCCTTAGAAAATACAGTTTTTGTTATTTGTTTTATTTTGTAGTGAATAAACATGAATAATTATTACTGGCATACAGGTTCAATTATGCCTTTCATACATATAATGCTGTTTATATAAAGTGGTTAATCTTTACGGTATGGATCCCCTAACTTAGGGAAATTGAATATGATATTCTCTTGGAAGACAAAAAGTTGCAGTCGTCTTTAAATGAAATAATCTGAAGGCACAAATGGTAATGCCACAAATAAAAGAAAAAGATTGCGGAAAATGCCACTCTCAGCCTAAGTCCACTCGGTGCTCCTGAGTTTCAGCTCTATCTTGATGTGCATATCGAGGTGAAGACAATGTTTCCTGGGTGGTGTTGGGAACCGAGCCCCTCATCAACCCTCCCCTCGGGCATTCTAAGTCACAGCAACTTAGATTGATGAATACATTTTTTGAGATGGAGTTGGGGACAGTCTCTGGCATGTGAGTCCATACTGTATAGAATTACTTATAAATCTGCTGTACAGGTTTTCGTGTACTGCCATGGAGCCTGAGGTCAAGTAATTGGTTAGATGTGGTCACATTTAACTGACAACACTGTAATAAGTAAGGTTCTCTTGATTACCATTTAACATACATATTACAATTCAACAAATTTATATGGTTCTATAAATGAACAAAATTCTGGTGTCTGAATGACTACCACGTCTCTCGGTCCTACCAAGGTTCGTAAACATGCCTGAAAATGGCAATCTGCTAACTGATGGGGCCTGAATCTCAGAGAATGGATAAAGTTACCACCATAATCTCTCATATTTCGACTGAATATTAATTCATAAAAGCATATGTATTCAGATCTTTGCACTGTTGATCACGATTATGCATGTGCCTAGGTATTTGATCAACTGTCTACATATTATCATGTAGGACATCCCCATACCCCACAAACTTTGCATGATAATAGGTGAAAATTGGGGACAAATAAGAGTTATATACAAATTAGGTAATTTAGTAATCAACTGCACGAGATATGATACAATTGTAATTCATATCCTGCTGTATTTAAAACTTCTGGAGAACTAGGGTCCCACTTTCTTCCAAGATACATCCATGAAGCTCTAAAGCTATAAAAAGTAGGCAAACCTTAAACTTGGGAGGTAATTTTTTCTAATAGTTCCGCCCAATGGATCACGATAATTTCAATATTGTTGGATTCCTCTCCTCGTTTACAATGCATATATGAAGGTTTTATTGTGGAGAACCCCCTCCACCCATTACGGACAAGCTTAGCCCCATTAGCAGGAAAAAATTACCGACTTGGATCATTTTATGTCTGGCATACCTATTCCAACAAATTATCAAAAATTCACTGAAATCCTTAGCAACATAACAAAGCACATTTCACGGTTGTATAGGGACCTGTATATTCCTTTACAATTTTGAATATTTCAAGTCTCATAACACTGATTTACCTATAAGTATATTGATTTCACTCACAGGACAAGGTTTCATGATAGAGTGATAGTATATTTCAAAAGGGGCTTCTAAAACTCAAATTTCATCTCGGAACTTTTCTCAAGAAAGAAAGAAAGAAAGAAAAAATATCTTCAATTTCCTCCTATACTTTCACAAGGCCTTTAATTTCCCAACACAAACTTCTTTACATCTTCTACGCATCATAATCACCAGAAATAATACCAAAAGGAGGTCATCTTACTCGTTTCTTGGGAGCATTACACTTCACATGGTTATTTCCTGAACACATTACTGTTTGACTGAAAAGCGGACCACCCACATCGCCTCTGTTTAGAGTTCGAAC